TACCTACCTACCTACCTACCTACCTACCTACCTACCTACCTACCTACCTACCTAGAATGATGAGTAAGAAGAAGATGGCAGAAGAAAGACTGAAGAAAAGGAAGGGACACTAGATCCATGTATTCAATCATGTTTATTCTTTTGATGAAATAAATTTTTTATTTTCATTTAATCTTGTCGAATTGAGTTTAAAAAAGTTATTTAACAATTCAAAATGGGTCCATATTTAGGGCGTTTTATGTAAATGTGACCTCAAAATATATATTTTAATATTTCGAAAATTTACAAAATAAATTATTAATTTTTCCTTGCGGTCATATGATGTCCCACACAAAATTTGGGCCTGATCGGTTCTGCCGTTTTGACGTTTATTGGATACNCGTTTATTGGATACAAACAGACAAGCAAAGTATATACATAGATAACAGCTAGATATAAATTACTGTGTCACTTAAATACTACTATGTTAATCAGAAATATAATTAGGAAAATTTTGTAAGTTTTGCAATTTTTACTCTTTAAACTTTTAATCAAGGTTTTTCTTTAACTTTTTAACCTTGTAAAATATATACATTTACTAGTATAGGGAACCCAGAGTTGTCTGGAGTTTCCCTATTGAAATCTATTCAGTAGGCCTAATATTCGAAATTGTGCTCGGTCTCTCCAAATCTGTGTTTAACCTTTTTCGCCAATAATAGTACAGAAAAAATACTTTTTATTTTTTTTTGTATGAAAAAGTGTTTCTAACAGAAACAACTGGGTGTAAGGGAGGGGGGTCTTTATATAAACAGTTTGCTCGAAAATGCCATGTTAATTTGTAATAAAGTAGGCCTAATATTTAAAATATAAAGTAGGCCTAATATTTAAAATATAAAGTAGGCCTAATATTAAAAATATAAAGTAGGCTTAATATTCAAAATATAAAGAAGCAAACAATCAATATCTATTTTAGATTCAATGATTAAAATCAGTTTTTAATAAGAAATTTATTTGGAAACTTTTGATCTACATTAAATCTTATAGTGTCTTTTTTCAAATATTTTATGTTATAATTTACATTCTTTTTCTATCATTTAACACCAGTATCAAGTAGATAGATTTTTAATGATTTTATATCAAACCATAGATAATATAATAATCTGAACGTGTTTATGTTTCATAGTGTGATATTTAAAACTTGAAACTTCTGTACTCTACTCCTTTTCATTTTATTCAGAACAATTAACAAGAACTTGCTGCATTAAATCCAATTTATTTTTAGAAAAGACAATATTTTAAATCAAATTATTAATTTAAGTTACAATAGAATGAACATACATCTCAGTATCAATTACAAGTAATTGATACTGAGGCATGATTACTATGACTATATTGCAGAGGTTCCTCCCTCCACTCTTCTCCCTCTAGAATCTCCAGGCTGTCTGCACCTCCACTCCCTCCAAATACTACCAGGTTGTTGTCCAGCACCTCCATTGTTAGATACCATCTCCCCCTGGTCAGCTTAGGCCCACTCCTCCAGGTGTCTGTAAAAGGTGTAAATATTTCTACAAAATCTAGAGATCCAGCATAACCATTGTTTCCTTTTAAAGCATTTAGAGTTCCACCATTGAATCCTCCAGCTGTCCATATTTCTCCCTTAAACATGCTGCATGCTAGTCCATACCTAAACAAAAAAGATATTAAACACAATATTTACTAAATATAATTTAAGAAAGTTTAGTTATTTTAACTTTAATAGTTTATTTTAATGAAATTTTACAATAGTTTTAAATTTTAATATGATATCAGATGGAAACATTTTGAGACTTCTATATTTCTTGTTTTTAATCCTTTCTTCTTGATCTTCCATTCCTTGTTCATCCTTCAATCACACTATATATCCCTGTATTCCTGGACACCATGTATATCCCTGTATTCCTGGACACCATGTATATCCCTGTATTCCTGGAGACCATGTATATCCCTGTATTCTAGGACACCATGTTTATCCCTGCATTCTAGGACACAATTCTCAAGTTTAGATTTAGGAAATTATGAAATTATGCTTAGAAACCAACTAATCTTACGTACTCATGAAGAATAATAAATCAGAGACGACTGTACGAAATTTAATCAGTCTTTTTTATCAACATTCATAATCTCTGTGTGCATGCAGGGCCATAACCAGGAGGGTGGTGGTATTCTAGCGCCCCTCCTCCCTGATTAAATTTTAGTTAAACTAAGTTTATTTGTTGCATGCTATTTTTGAATCAATTTGTTAAATCTTTCAATCAATTGCTGGGGCTGGGGGGTAATAGGTATTTTAAATATATATGAATGTCTTGTTTTATAATATAGATAGACAAGCATATTTATTGTTGTTGCTGTATTAATGGTTTAGAATTTTTAGAACTGTTTCTGGTGTTAGAGGAATATACAAGAAATCCGTTCATGAACCTGAGGGGGCGTTCAAGTATAAATAGAGTTATTAAAGGGATTCTTCATGAACCTGAGGGGGCGTTCAAGTATAAATAGAGTTATTAAAGGGATTCTTCATGAACCTGAGGGGGCGTTCAAGTATAAATAGAGTTATTAAAGGGATTCTTCATGAACCTGAGGGGGCGTTCAAGTATAAATAGAGTTANTTTATTTAATGTTTCCATTATGATTGGTAAGGAAATTGTGATATTAAAAATCTTCAGTACAACAAAAACTACTTAATGTGTATATTTGGCCTTTTTTGTTTTCATATTATCTAATATATATAATATAGGAACTCTTCAGTTCAAAAATCTAAGGGCATTTAAATTGTTATAATTTATAAACTATAACTAAATTTTGTTCTAAAATATTTGTTATTTATTTATATTCTCTGAATCAATTATTTTTATTTTCTTAAAAGTGGCTCTTAATAAAAATGGTTTCCCCACCTCGCATAGTTTAACTGTAATGCTTACCCCACCTCGCAGGAATAATAAAGAAAATCAATGTTTAAATGTCGTCGTCATATATTTCTGATATTCTCTCGGCCTAGTGTTTGTTCTGTCTGGATGATGTGCTGGGTTAGACCAAAAAAACATGCAGATGCAGATCCCATTGAAATTCCACAATTCTGCTGTCTGATATTGTGTTTGTTAAAACATGGTTCAATGTGGAGGTAAACTAATAATTAATAATTAATTAATATTTCTGTCAGATTCATGATATTTAATACATTAATTCACACAAAGTATTTATTGACAACTGTACAAAAATTAATGGTTTTTACATTCATTGTTCCTTGTAGTGCAGCTGTAAACTTGTTAAATCACTTATTAAATGCATATAAATTATACAATTATTATTTACAATAAATCCTCAAAACTTTAGTTTTTAAGGAATTTGTAGATTTTGTTAAAATCTCATTTCGTGTACTTTTTATCTGATTTAAATGATGTATTGCTTGAAGGACCTCTAAGATATAAGAAAAATCCCAAGTAACTTTTTTTGAGATTCTGAAAGAGTCCATCAAACAAACATTTTGGCAGCATTTTTTCCTAGGGCAAATTTATCTGCAATTCGCATATTTGCAAAGTAGAGTTTTATTTGCATTTTTCAGCTCTGTATATAGAAACTTACTTAAAATTTTTTTTTAATTGAATTAAACTAAATTTAAATGATTGATTGATTGATTGATTGCTGTAAGGATTGATGTATTGATTGATGTATTGATTGATTGCTAGGTTCCCAAGTTCTATGCCGCGGTAACAAATCTTCTTCTGCCAATGGAGAAGCGCTCCACTTGGAAGGGAATGCGTACAGTGGGTGAGATAAAACGAGATTAAATATTAAGGTTGGAAATTTGTAAGTTTTGTTAATCTTTGATATGTTCTCACTTTTCTGTATTAATTTGGTTTTCTTATCTGTGTGTTTAGGCTGAAGTGAATCCTGATCATCTTTATACAACTATTCAGAGGGAAGAGAAGGTAGACATTTTTATATTCATTCTTAGTTCTTAATTAAACTTAAAGAGAAGGTAGACATTTTTTCAATATATATTCTTTACAAAAGTATGTTTACCTAGTCCTACCAGATAACCAATATCTCCTATTGCCACATCACAGGGATATGATTCAGTTTTCCCACCTATGTAAATAAAATTTTAATATGATTCATTAATGTTTCTTTCTAGCTGAAATACTCAAGTAAATATTTAAACATTATTTGCGAACATAAAAACTTACAAATTATAATTTTATTTTATCATATATTCTAGTTAATGTAAAAATGCAATTTAAACTTAAGATTAGTATTAGAATTTGATTTTTTAATTGAAAAGTTAAAGGTTTCCACTAATAATAAGCCTATGGTGAGTTTTTTTTTATATTAATCATAATATTTGTTAAACAGTTTTGATTCAATCATCATAGTCTAAATTATATATTTGAAAATAAACCAATGTTTAATTTTAATGTTTAAAAATAGCGTTAAAAGAACAAATATCTTGTGTTCTACAGAAGTGTATATTTGGTTTCTTATTGAATAAGAATAAAGTAAGAAAAATTTACCATAGCCACCCCCTAGAAGTACAGCAGTTGTTTCTGCAGAAGCAGATCCCTACAATAAATATCAATATAAACATAATGACAATTAAAACCTAGCTTATAATTACAAATATGAAAATAGAAAGAAAGCTGTAAGATTAATTATTGAGTAAAATCGTTTTCACATTTTCATTAAATTAAGCATACTGTTTCACTTATAATTAATAGCAGGATAGGGTTTGAATTGATATAAAAACTTACCCTGCTACAGGAGGCAAGATATCCAGCAAAAAGAATAGATACAATCGAAAGAATCATACCTGAAAGAAACAAATGTTGTTTGGTAAAATGATTCATAACTGTTTTCTTAATTGCTTAAACTGATTAATTTAATAAATGATTATTTTACCTTATATTTTTTTCTGAGTTTAGCAGTAAAGTTTTAAACTTTATAAAGCACTAATAAATTCATAAACTTATTCATTCTTTTATACTGTTCAAACCTGAGATAATGCTTGTAAGTAAACATGGACTTTAAACTCAGGATTCTAGAAACACACAAAATATTATTATTTAAAAAGTGCACTAAAAGTAAAAGTACTATGTACAGAGAACAACAAACAGACGTACAATGTAAAGATTGCACAATGTATATACTGTACTCTGTACCCTGTACTCTGTACGCTGTACTCTGAATGCTGTACTCTGTACGCTGTACTCTGTACGCTGTACTCTGTACGCTGTACTCTGTACGCTGTACTCTGTACGCTGTACTCTGTACGCTGTACTCTGTACGCTGCACTCAGTACGCTGTACTCTTTACGATTTACTCTGTACGCTGTCCTATGTACGCTGTTTTCTGCATGCTGTACTCTTTCCGCTGTACTCTGTACTCTGTTCTCTGTACTCTGTCACTGTACTCCGTATGCTGTACTCTGTATGCTTTACTTTGTACGCTGTACTATCTACGCTGTACTCTGTATGCTGTATTCTATACGTTTTCACTGTGTGCTGCTCACTGTATGCTCCACACTGTTCGCTCTACACTTATATATTGAGCTAAGAATTCAAATAAAGTTAAAAGCAAACATAAATAATAGTTTGTTTTTAACCTTTTGGACAGAAACAATCTCAAGAACTGACGAGGGTCAACCCAGACCGAAATATATTTTCAATAAATGGTCCATCACCATTATAAATAATATAATGTAGTTTACAACGAGAAAATCAAATTTAAATATACAATTTAAATTTATCACAGAATTATAGATTAATTTATCTTACATTATGGAATTCCTATGATTAATACAACAAAATATAATTGATTTTCTAACTATAAGATCATAAGAAAATAAATGTATCTATTTTGTGTAATATATTGGTTTAAATAAAGGTGTATTTTTATTCAGTTAATTATATTAATATACTGTAGGAGCTGCAGTTCTGAATGAACAGATTGTTTACTGCGGGGGATTGGATCGAGATAATGATTATGATGGTAGTATGCAACTTAGGAGTTAATACATAAAGTTTAATTACATTATTACTGAGAGAATTTACTAATATTTAAACCTGTCTATTACTTAATGATTATTAAGCGCTAAATCCATATTTAAAGTTTCCCTATTAAAACAGATGATTAAGGATGATAATTTAGACATTGTATATTGGAAATTCTTGAACATTTAGATTTTATATTTTAGAAATATCACTGTAAAAAAGTAACTTGAACACCTTCTAATTCTTTTATCCAATACCTTTGCAACCTGATGTTGTTGACCTTAGACATTTTTCTTACTATGAAAACTATTAGATGAAATTGTTGCAAGTTGAAAATATCAATGGTTTAAACCATCAGATTCAAAGAATATTAAGTTTGTGGCGAGTAATCCAGTTCTTTTGATAAAAGAATAACTAGACATAAGTGCTGAAAATAGTTATTCTACTGATACCTTTCATAGAAACTAAGTCAATGCCAGAATTTTATAATCCTTATAACTTTGCCACATGATGGTGTAAACTTTTGATATTTTAAACTTAAACTATTTGATATAACAGAATTCATAGTTTGAAAGATTGGAAAATCAGAGTTTGTAGCAAAGACTCATTTCATTTTAAATTCAACTATTATTCTTTGATGCTATAAACCTTTCTTTGTGTTTTTTACACTTAAAGAATTAAAGATTGGAGCATTTTAACTTTAAAGTATTCTGTTATGTTTATACTTGCGATGGTCAGTATTGTTTACATCATATTTAAAATTACAATTAAATCTTTTTTAATTGAATAAATACATTTAATACAAAATAAAATAGTGATGGAGGGAGAGGGGATTCAAATACATTGTAATGGAAATAAACTGTGTTAAACTCCCAAATGTTGCATACCTATACCTATAGAATACCGCAGGTAGAATGAAGTGAATGAAGTCAAACCTTATAGAAATCCAACGTGCAGCAACAAGGCGTATTTTCCGGGAGAACATTTTTTGTATTTTTGAGAAATTAAATAATCAGTGTAAAGTAGAATACCACAAGTAGAATATAGTGAACTAGTGAAAACTAATAAATCAAACAATAATAAAATATAGAATATAAATTATATGCATTAAAAAAGATAAAAATTCACAAAATCAAAGTTGAAATTAAATATTTTTGGTTAGAAACTGCTTCAAGAATGAGGGAATGGACTGGATAGAGTTTGAAAGTATGAATGTGGCTAGAAGATTCTTTACCCTGACTACACTAGGAGACATGATACTTGCTGCAGGAGGATTAACTGGACAGGAGTATGTTCTATGTTTAATCTTATTTGTTTCATAAACCTTTTTGTTCTTTATTGATCATCTAGCTTTCTTTGATATTAAAAAAATGGATGTGTCTAAATTTAAATATTGAATTATTATATACACATTCTCATAAACTGGAATACTTCAGTTAGAAGTCAAACCTTATAGAAATCCAACGTATACAAACTGCTACGTATAGCAACAAGGCGTATTTTCCGGGAGAACACTTTTTATTTTTTTGAGAAATTAAATAATCAGTAGAAGTAGATATTATTTTCATAAAATCTTTTTATTTAAATGGTAAAACGGAATTTTATGAAATCATATTAGCATTACTGGAGAACTTTTTTATACATTTTAGGAAATTTTTTTTCTAAAAATAAAACTGTAGATAGCATTTTTATAAAATATTTTTTTGAATAGTAACACGGAATTGTAAGTAACCATATAATCATTCATTTATGTTGTCAGTACATAATAAAATCTGGGGGACCTTAAATGCAATAGAGAGCAGTACAAATGTACATATTAAACTATTTTGCTTCTTTAATGTCTAGGGTATGTTAAAAAAAATAGAAATTATGATAATGATAATGATAAGCTACAATGTTTTACAAAAACGTTTAATTTCTCAAAAATATAAAAATATAAAAATAGGCCTTGTTGCTATATGTAGCTGTTTCTATACGTTGGATTTCTATAAGGTTTGACTTCCTTCAGTTAAACCCCTTCACCTGTATCAGTTAAAATTATATATTTGTTTAATAGGTTTACTGCTACTGTGGAGGTGTTTGATGGATCCTCCTGGAAGCTTCAAAACTTTAAATTAACATCTGCAAGAATTCAGTACTGTGCTGTTCCTATCAGGTATACACTTTATTTATATATTACTCATGATAAGTGCACACATATAATTAATCAACAATGATAAAATAAGATGAATTCTTATACAAAATATATGCTGTTGTCAAATATTATCCACCATGTTTTCACAAATAAATCTAATAAGATGTATCTACTTATATTTTCATTTTTCCCGCATTTTTCGGGCATTTTTTCAAAAACTTTGTGATAGGTCTATGTGGGGTGTCTAAAGTCATTAATATTAGGTCGGGAAACTCAATTCTGCATTTCCCCCTCTCCTTATACTATTTCCTCCCCCTTTCCCGCATTTTCACCCTCCTAACGGCCAAAGAAGCCTTCTGACTTTATTACTAGAGATTTCTCTTCGATTTTTTGCATGCAGACCTGAATTGTGATTTAGTTTTTGAATCAAAACTCAAAGTTTAATTAAGTGCTAAGAATGAATATAAAAATGTCTACCTTCTCTTTAAGTTTAATTCAGCACTAAGAATGAATATTAAAATGTCTACCTTCTCTTTAAGTTTAATTAAGTGCTAAGAATGAATATAAAAATGTCTACCTTCTCTTTAAGTTTAATCAAGTACTAAGAATGAATATAAAAATGTCTACCTTCTATTTAAGTTTAATTAAGTATAATGAATATTAAAATGTCTACCTTCTCTTTCAGTTTAATTAAGTACTAAGAATGAATATAAAAATGTCTACCTTCTCTTTAAGTTTAATTAAGTGCTAAGAATGAATATAAAAATGTCTACCTTCTCTTTAAGTTTAATTAAGGTACTAAGAATGAATATAAAAATGTCAAGCACACAGTGAATACAGCAATCAATCAATAAATCAATACATCATTTAAATCAGATAAAAAGTTAACCAAAAAATGAGATTTTAACAAAAACCTACAAATTCTTTAAAAATTAAAGTTCTCAGGATTTATTGTAAATAATAATTGTATAATTTGTATGCCTTTAATAAGTGATTTAACAAGTTTACAGCTGCACTACAAGGAACAATGAATGTAAGAATCATTAATTTTTGTAGAGTAGTCAATAAATACTTTGTGTGAATTAATGTATTAAATATCATAAATCTGACAAATATTTTCTAAAATGTTTTCAAAAATAAATCTAGTAAGCATATCTATTTATATTTTCATTACAAACATTGTTCAACTTTGCTAAATTCCCCTTTTTAAAAGAACAAACTGTTCATATTTAAAAATATCTTACATTAAAAGTTGGCACAAATGAACAGAATCATAGATAATATCATAAATAATAAAACTGACAACATTTTTTAATTATTTTTATATTTCTTAACATTTTATATTCTAGTGAGAGTCAAGTCATGCTGCTTGGAGGATATTCTAACGGCTACTTATCTCTTATTGATATCTACAGTATAGAGGAGGGATTCATTGCAGAGCTTCCATCAATGCCAACTGCAAGGTAATCTTTCTAAAATATACATGAAGACTGAAACATTTAGACATGTTCTATTTTATATTTTTCATGATTTTTCTAATATTAATGTTGGCATTCTTAAAAATAATAATAATAAATTAATCATTGATTTTTTTTTATTTCATCCTTATACTCTTTGTTTGGTGCTTTCTAAATAAAATGCCTTTTTATTGCTATTTAAGGAATTGATTCATATATCTATGCAACCCAATGTCATAGACCTTTAATATTTAAAATAATGAATTCTGTAAGATAAAATTATCCAATTTTGAGAATCAAATGTTTAAACCATCAGGTTGCAAAGAAATGGGGATTACAAAATTGTGTTTGTGGCTAAAACTCAGTTTCTTTGTGATAAATTGCATTTATGAAAAAAATAAATATGTATGTATAATAACATAATATTTAACAAAACTTTCTAAAATCATATTTTGTGAATATTGTGTTTAATAATTGTTTGTTTAGGTATGGACTAGGATGCAGCATGTTTAAGGGAGAAATATGGACAGCTGCAGGATACAATGATGGATTTCTAGATGTTGTAGAAATATTTAATTCTTTTACAAGCACCTGGAGGAGTGGGCCTAAGCTGATCAAGGGCAGATACTACCTAAACATGGAGGTTCTGGACAACAACCTGGTAGTATTTGGAGGGGATGGAGGTGAAGACAGCCTGGAGAAACTTGAAGGCGATGAGTGGAGGGAGGAACCTCTGCAATATAAACATGATTATCATGCCTCTGTATCAATTCCTTGTATTTGATACAGAGATGTATGTTTATTCTATTGTAACTTAAATTAATAATTTGATTTAAAATATTGTCTTTTCTAAAAATAAATTGGATTTAATGCAGCAAGTTCTTGTTAATTGTTCTGAATAAAATGAAAAGGAATAGAGTACAGAAGTTTCAAGTTTTAAATATCACACTTTGAAACATAAAAAATATAAANTAGGTAGGTAGGTAGGTAGGTAGGTAGGTAGGTAGGTAGGTAGGTAGGTAGGTAGGTAGGTAGGTAGGTAGGTAGGTAGGTAGGTAGGTAGGTAGGTAGGTAGGTAGGTAGGTAGGTAGGTAGGTAGGTAGGTAGGTAGGTAGGTAGGTAGGTAGGTAGGTAGGTAGGTAGGTAGGTAGGTAGGTAGGTAGGTAGGTAGGTAGGTAGGTAGGTAGGTAGGTAGGTAGGTAGGTAGGTAGGTAGGTATGTAGATGTTATAAAGCAAGATAGTAGAAGATACCTGGATATCTGTTTCCTTGCTTCCTTCTGTTTCTTCAGTTTTCTCTCCTCTTCTCCTGTCTTGAGTTTACTAAACTTATTCATTCTTCTTCTCTTTTCCTCTTCCATCTTACTTAACTTCTCACCATGGAGCTCATGTAGCATTCTAGATAGATATATAAAAGGAGTTAGATTCTGTTTGTCAGCTTCTTTGGATGTCCGATCATAACTCAGGAACCCCTTGACCGATTTGCCTCCAATTTTAACAGAACTTGATAGAACCCTTGAAATATTCTTAGCTTTGTTAGCTAGGTTCCCAAGGGAGTAGACAGTTATATAGATAGATTAGCAACCTTCCGTTCTTTATGATCTAACACAACAGCAACTCTGCCAGAAGTTGGATCTATATCTTGAGCAGCAGTCTACAACAACAACACCAACATTTACACTATTAACAGCAAACATCAATGTTAATGCAATTGATTTTAGATCTACTTTTGTAGTCAGCCCTAGAAATAATTTTCATCATTGACCTGTAGACGGGTGAATACACATATACATCCTAGCTCTATTTTGAATTAAGAAACTAGTAAGTTTAGGATCAAAAGACTCAGACAGAGAAACTTTTAGACAGTTGATAACACCTTCAGTTCAAAAGTACCTAAAATGATCATCCTAGGCTAGTAAGAGAATAGGATTATTTAATTTTTATACCATTGCCAACAAGATGGAAATAGAATAAAATGAAAATTAAAGTCAAACACCAAAAAAATCCAAATAGAGCTTTTTCAAAAACAAATATATGTATGTATCCTGCAAGACTGTCACCGCCAGAGCAACACACCTAAACATCCAGAGTCAATCAATTGCTTTAAATTTTGAGTCCGATAAATTCAGAAATTTTGAAGTTAATTTCATTAGAAAAACATTAAGGTGAACAACATCAACATTAGCGACAAAAACAACACTACCTGGCGCCCATAATCCAAATACCTTAGGTTTAAGATTGTAAGGAAGCGCCTCTTGAAGTGCCTGCGGGATCTTTAAAGGCTGGAAAGTCTAGAAAATGGAAACGATCATTTTAATGAATTTTATTTTACTAAATTAAGAATGTGGAAGATATCGTCGTTTTTCAAGCTTGAAAAGTGTTAAATTCTGATAATTCCTCCATTGTTTTCCTGCAGCAGAAATAAGAAAGTCTCTTTATAGAGAAACCATAATTGAAAATAATCAGTTATTCATACTTGATCAAGCAAAGCTTTAAAGGGTATCATCGTGAGCAGGGGTGGATACAGGATTCAAGTGAAGGGGGTGCTAGATTTATTTCGGAACAAAAACATCCAGATTTAGGAACAACATTTTTTTTAAGATAGACATTTTTCCTGAGATGAGATTTTAAAAGCTTAAACCAGAGTAAAACCCAAACTTGGGCTTAGATAGAACCCAAGTCAGGATTGGTTCTGATTCGACCAATGAGAGACTGTTTTGCAAGTTTTCTCTCTGTAGCAGACAGAATGCCGTCAGATCAGCTGTGACAAGAAGATGTAAATTTCGATAATTCAAACTTTATGTAAATACATTATTTTCATAGTATGTTTATTTTATATAATTAATAAAATTTGACACCACAAATAATTCCCAAGATTTTAAATGTACAAATATAAAAGATTTTACGTAGTTTACGATCATCAGTTGCTGAAGACTAGAGCCTTAAAGAAAGAAAAACCCAAAAAGTATTCCATTCCTTGACACAAAACTGTACATTGAAGATGGAAAAATCACAACAGATCTCTACAGAAAACTCACAGATAGATGTATGTACCTACTTCCATCATCTTGCCACCCAACACATATTTCTAACAAAATACCTTATTCACTTGCATACAGAATTGTACGAATTTGCAGCAACCCAGAACTTAGGAATGCACAATTCTTAAAACTAAGAGATTTTCTTCTCAGCAGGGATTACAATTCTTCAATTGTTGACTCTTCTATAGTCCGAGCTAAAGCTATACCTAGAGAAGTTGCTTTAAAGAAAGTGGAGAAAAAGGAGAAACCAGATCGAGTTATAATCTCTATCTCATTTAATCCCCAGCTGCCTTGTATCTCCTCCATCATACAGAAACATTATCCCCACCTAATTAATATTAAAATGTTTACAATATGATAAATATTACTAGGTTTTGAAAGTTTACAATAAGTCAGGGATTACTAGTTAAATTTAGAGAGACCGAGGTGCAACATAACAAAATAATAGATTTTTCAGTCTTAGGTTTAGTACGTTTAACAGAATAAGATTAAGCATGCACAAAAATCTACAAATCTTTTTAAATCAAGTGGCAGTTTATTCCATATCTAAAGAAGTGCATATGAGGGAAGATATTCTAATGAGCCTGTATTTAAAATGTCAATTTGATAGCTAAGAGATCTTTCAAAATTTCCGAGTTTTATGATTAATACAATAATTTAAACTGCCCAACTTGTCCCTACATAGAGCCTGGAACAGTTATACAATCCTCTAATACCAGCAAGAAGATTGAGACTTATGGAACTTTTAACTGTAAGACCAGATATTAGATTACATGTGAACAGTGTAAGCTACAATATATTGGACAGACAACAAAATCTTTAGATGAAAGAGTGAGAGAACATATTGGTTACATTAGAAATCTCCATACAAACCAGACTTCAGGAGAACATTTTAACCTTCCTGGACATGAACTCTACCATCTAAAAGTTAGCTCTCTAGACAAGGTTTGGGACCACAAAAGAAGTTTACTTGAAGTACGAGAATCTAAATACAGTAGAGATTTTAGGACTGAACTCA